CTGGAGAAGGAGGGATAATTTCCTCCTGTACCAGTCAGATCTGATTTGATGGTACACACACATACACAAATAATAAAATATTAAAAAAATGGCATAGGAAACTGCCAGAAGTTCAAGCAAGATTTAAAAGAGGCCATGGCACGAGAGATATCATTGCTGATGTCAGATGGATCCAGGCTGAAAGACCAGAAGGATGCCCATTTATGCTTTATTGACTATGAAAAGGAATTGGGCTGTGTGGATCATAACAATTTATGGCTAATATTGAGAAGCATGGCATCCAGAGCACTTAATTGTGCTCATGGGAAACACCTATACTGGGTGGGACTTGATTAATCTTCTCTCAGTCTAAGCCTTATGCCTCTACTTCTACTGCTTTCAACAAACATTTCTCTAGGGAAATTCTTCCCTTTTTAGTATGTCTGATCAGAATTACCCTCAAGTCTGATTACACACTTTCAAGAGTTATAATGTCTAGCAATCATTTATACAATATGTTTTAATTACAAAATAAACATCAACAAAAAATAAGAAATAGCAATATTCATAAAGTTAAATTTAAAAAACATATAAAACTTTCAAGGAATGAACAGATTGAACTTCATTTTCCACCCTTATTTCATTCATATGCATATGATCTCAGGCCAAAACTAGTTTAACTTATCCTCCATGTTAATAGCTGCATGAGTAGCCATTTTAATAGCACTTACCAAGACCCTAACTTCTTACAAACTCTACGTTTCTATGGGTCTGGAGTTATCATAGTAAATCCCATTTCTGACACCAACTGTAAAAAGAGCAAGGGCCTTGTGGGGGTTACTGTGACTGATCTTTACCTACTTCACTAAGGAGAACTGTCCCTATCAATAGCATTAATGACACAAAACCAATTCCCATGAGGTCAGACATGTCTCCCATGGTCCTTTACCTTCACCTACTCATCTCAACATCAATCATAGAGCTTTTCTGGATCTAAAATTCAATGTGATAGCTCACAGACCACACAGAACCATGTTAGGGAAGTCAAAGGCTATAATTCTGGTTAGTAGCAGAATATAGTCAAGACAGTTTGTGCAATGTGCTTGCAGGCACTAAACTTTGAGCCTCATAGCTTTACGCCAGTGTTCCAAAGTTCTCAGTCCTACCAATTTTGGCTTTCTACCCCTGGTTGTCCAATAAACTTAGGCAAAGGCTTTTAATTCTGGTGCCAGTAGTGTAGCAGTCCCAAGGTCTCATTTCATGTCAAGTTTCTCGTTTGGCTATGGCTGTTTGTGCTGTAAGTGTAGATAGAGCAAAAATGTCTAGTTGCAAAAGGCATCCCACATTCTCCTGCTTCCACTTCTTTTGCCGGGGCTAGAGCTGTTCAATTTATTGGCAAGATTTGCCAATCACCTTGTAGATTGTTCAAAGTGGCCAATTGCCTTGTAGAATTGTGAGATAGCCAATCCCCTTGCGGAGAGGCTAACATGCCCTATTCACATAGTCCTAACCATTTGCATTATCAGATAAGATTCAGATGACTAGGCAAATCATATTGAAAAAGAAATGTCACACCATGACATGCTTTGAAAAATTAAGCCTTTAATGAGTAGTGTAATTTGTTTCATGTATCATATTTGCTCCTGAGTTGGCTTCTTCTCATAACAGAAGCATCAAGTTTCTTAGGCTGTAAATCTTTACATTAGATTAGACTTATTTCTCTCATGGAACATGCGGGTGAATTTGAACCATCAACCTTTTGGTTAAAAGTGGAACATGTAATGTACTATATGGTCAGGGCTTTTTATAGGGTCACTGTAAGTCAGAATTATTTCAATGGCAGTGGGTGCTTTTATTTAAAGAATTTAATTCATTGCTAAATTGGAAATACTACTTTACCATCTTTATTTATTTTACTCTTTATTTAATGAAAACAGTCCTAGTGGTAGAGTGATTAAGGTCTTGGATGCCATTGTAAAGGTTCATGGATTTGTGTTTTTTTAAAATTAATTGGCGTCTTTTAATTTTCTTTTGTTACCATGTACATGTTATTTTCATAACAATACATAGCAAAAAATTGTGGCAATACCATATAAAATTTGCAAAATGTAAAATAGGATATTTTAATAATCAATCTTTACCGATCAAGTATGTAATAATGAAAAGAATACAAAATACATCAATATTATAATTAGTAACATGCATTAACTGAAAAACGATGTAAACATTTTTTATTCACTACTTTTTTAAATCTTGTAGGAAATCTAACACCTTTCAAATGCAAAGGAGTAATATTATGTACACATCGACACAGAAAATGTTTAGGCCACTTTGCCATAGCTAAAAATGCATTAATATTTGCATTCAGTAATAAAAATAAAATGAATAATTTCCTCCCCAAAACAAAATAAATAAAGGTAAAACTAAATATTTAGGTATCCTCCTTCCTAAATAAGACTGCATAGAGTCACAATTATAAATTCTGATTATTTCAATAGAAAGATTTCACATAAAACATAGGAGCTAAGACAAAAGAAGTAATCTGAGGCCAACTCATAGAATCCACAATTGTCATTCTCAAACAAGAAAAAAATTAAATTATTTATTTTAAGAAATCATCACAATAGCATAAACATAAGAAAAGATTAGAGATTAATAAAGATAAACAAAAAAATTTAGCAATGAAATAACTCCAAATTATTTGAAAAGATATACAACTGTTAGTCATCAATAAATAAGCAAATAAAAAAAAACTTTGCAGAAATGAAATAAAAATTTCATACAAACGAAATTATTTTTGCTGTTGTTCTTATGTACCAGGGAGTCAGAACTGGCTCATAGCTGATTCGTAATGGATTATCACTTGAGAGGAGATTGTCCATCTTTTCTTCAGCTGAGCACATGATGAATCAAATCAACAGATATTATGTGAGAGATATGGCAGTTTTATAGTTTTAGGAGATCTGGTGGCCCAGTGATAGGAATCTGCACTGCAATCCTGAAAGGCACGTGATTAGAATCTACCAACTGAGAGCATGGGCAGTCTCCTCCCATGTGATTTACTGCCTCCAGAAAAGGTATTTAAGGGTCAGCTATAGGTCAGCCCCAATAACAGCAAACAATGACCACAACATCTTAGAAATCGTATGAGACAGTATGATTCAGCTCTATAAATTTTTTTGTGAATTACAATCAACTAGGTATCAATGGATTTGAAAGGTAAGGATGATGTCTGCTTCACTTATCTTTCAGAGCACTAAGAAAAATGTCATATGCAGCTAGGTATTTAATGAATTTGTCCACTGCTCTTGAAAATCCAGAATATAAACTATGTCCCATACTCACCAAGAGTACTATCCCACAGACGGCCAAGAGAACAAACAGGTATGTCTTGGAGAGGGTGTAGCCGGAGTGCTCTTTAGAGGTAAGAACGATGAGGCTTTGCCTAATATACTTCGGGAATGTTGCTAGCAGGGACTATTCCTTGGAGAAGGACATGATGCTAGAAAGAGTAGGGGGTCGGCAAAGGAGAGGAAGACCCTCAACCAGAAGGCTTGACATGGTGACTGCTGCAATGGGCTTTTGTGTGACACGAAGTGTGAGGATGGCGCAGGATAGCACAAGGTTCAGATATTTTTTCAGAGGGTCACAATGGGTCATGCTTGACTTGATGACACCTAACAACAATTATAACTTCAAGAACTGGAGATATGATGAAAAAATGTATTTCCAATACAATAACATTGAATGTCCTGACATGTAGGACAAATATATACTTATGTGATTTATTTTAATTTACTATCAGACTTCTACCAGATTTGCACTTTATAGCAGCAGCAATTTTTAGATTTAATCATGACAACGACCAAGAGAGAGCTACATTGGCCTAGTAGGAAGGAAGCTGTGCTACCAAGGCGAAGGTGGGTGATTTTCATCTGTGGCCCTCGGCCAGGTTCAAATTGTCTTCCTGTCAAACATTCTTCTAGGTGGTATAGCACTGGTCTGTGCGTTGCTGTACAGAGGTAACTCGTGGTTGCTGTGATGCTGAAGACTGTGACAGTGATGTGCCAATCGTGGTAATTGGTACCCACGGTGGACAGTGTTGGCTGGAACTTCCCAACTAAATCAAGCCTGGAAGCAGGAGCGGCATCCACTTCCGAAATGGCTTACCTCTGGAAACTCTATGTACAAACAGTGCTCAGGCTGTTCGTTCATAGGGTCGCTATGAGTCGTCTACAACTTGACAGCATTAAACAACAACAAACAACAACATTAATTGGCTTATTATTATAAAAGCCTGCCCAACATAAGAGATGTGGAAAATGCTGAAAATGCAAAAGAAATAAATGTAAAAGAAAGGAAAATTAATTTGTAATTCCCATGCCAGAAGATAATGGCTTTGATCATGTTGCTATTTTCCCCTAGAATTCATTTCAATGTGTTATAAATACTATCTAGTGTTAACCCAATTTTAAGGTTTCCAAAATCTTCTTTTTGATCCTTTCCGTTCTTAGTTTCATGTTCTTTCCAGTCAGAAAGATTGTTTTGTTGTTTCTCAATGTATTGAAACATGGGAGCTAAGGGAAAGAGTTTGCCATTTGCTTTTAGTCACTTAACTTTTCTTTCAAATGAAGCTTGTTACCATGAAGGAAACTTTGAACCCTCCTGCCCCAGTGCATTTGTACTCTGAGAGTCAGTTGAACAAGGATTATGTCACCCACCAAGGCAACTTTCTGTTTTAGTAGGTGATGTTAAGAAACAAAGCAACACCCTTTCAATGAATCAGTTTTGGAAAATAGAGAATGGCATTATATTCCTGGCCTTTGATGTGCTCAGTAATTCCTGTAAGGATCTGCCTCTCTTTTGTTTTGATTGACAAGACCTTCCCTATATATTTGAGCAATTTCGCAGTCCAGTAACACGGGTAGAGACATTTGCCCAGAGCACACTCCTGCCATTCACTGTGACTTGCTGAAACTTGGGGTGCAAATTTCAGCTCTAAAAGGAGAATCAACTCCAACATGATAAGGTAAGTGCTTCTTTGCATTTGAAACTCCATCCACCTGAGGGGAAGACTTGAGGTCCATGCAAAACTGACAAGTCAGAATTAGGAACCTCAAGAGGAGATTTGAAAAGACGGAATCTCTAGACCCATTTTTAATGATATTGACACAGGCCATCTCAAAATGCAATGCTCATTTTTTAATATCTCACTTTGTTTGGAAGGCCATGAGTGAAAGGGTGGTTTGGGGCCTGAAAGAGCACAGAAGCTAAAGGCGGAATCAGGCTAGATCCCAGCTCTCCTGGCTCCCGGCAGCTTCTTCCAATGTGGATAGACTTGAGGATAGATTTGGATTGCATTTTAAATGTATTTGATTTTAAATCAATGACATTTAAATGGATCCATTGCCAGGTGCTTTTATAACAAGTCTAAGCAGAGGCAAATGGTAGAGGCTCAGCAGAATAGATATCTTGTTAGGAACAGGATTCTAAGTGACTAGGTTTCATAACTCTTCTGCATATCCATGTTCTAGTGAGTTGGGTTAGGAACTCTAAATGCAGAGCAGAGAATCATTAGTATTTACTTACTCCCACCATTCATGATGCTTGAAAATAAAACTTTGAGCAATGCATATAATATGGCACCCCAATACTCTGGATCTGAATAAAAACCAATTCACATATGTTAGGATATGCATTCCTAACATATGTGCATTCATTTGAGAGATCTTTGGAACACACTTCTTTCAACACCTAGTCAAGTCTGACAGTTGGGTCATAGAAAAGAATAAGCAGAAAATGCCCTAGATCCATAGTATCAAGAGAGTACAGCATCTCTGTGGAATCCAGATGGGAGCCAGTTCCAAGGAAACTACGGGCACTTGTGTAGAACTTCATGGGCATTTATAATTTCTTGGCTCATTTTTTTCCAGAGATACTAAAGACAAGTTCACTTTGATAACAAATAACACGTGAGATAGTTGGTTCTGCAAATTAACTCTCTTCTACTTTGAAAGGAACAACATGCAGCCTGTGTGCCTTTTTCTTGGCTCTGTGCTCTTCATTCTTCTGGCTGCCTGCAGCTGTACCACCAGTATCCCTGATGAGAAGCTGGCCAGCATCATGGGCTGTACTGTGAAAGACCATACTTTTTTGGCCAAGAAGCCAGGCTGCAAAGGCCTTGCGATCACCACATCTTCCTGCTGGGGCCATTGCCTGACTTGGGAGGTAAGTTGGCTAAACTGGGTTTGCTCTTTCTACTAAATAAGGCACAAGTGTAAATTTGCTTTTTTTCTTGTAAATATAAGAACAAAACATATAAAATCCCAATTATTTGGCATCTTCTAAAAGTTATTGGAAAGAAACATGATTATGCCTTTCTAACAAAGTTGACAAGATTAATAACTTGATTTATATGGAGTCTGTGTTTGGGAGAACCATCTCTAGGAGGGCAGAATATACCATTATTCTACCCACTTAACTTCCTCCATGTGGAGGAATTCAAAGAGGAAGCTACATGTACTGTGGAGAGATGGGAATTAATTCTTGGTTTAATTTGTCACCAGAACTCCTCTCTGCATGCCCATTATGTATGATAAAGCTAGCTGATTATGAAGAACATCCCTAAGTCAAATGGTGAGCTGAGTTGTGATTGGTTCCCAGTCTCTGGCACAGCCTTGGTTCCCTCAATTACTGCTGAAGATTCACATAGTCCATTTATAGTCAAGTACACAAGACTTTCTTTTTAGGTATTTGCATTTGAAATGTGATAAACATCTTTAGGAAACTTAGAGTCCTATTGGTTGGAGATATTCATTACCATCAGTCTGAGGGAGGAGGAAGAAGGAGGGACATTCAACCCTCCATCAAGTCACACCACATAACAACTGTACACTCTTCTCACTGAAGTCCATGTTCATTATTGAGTAAGGCCCGGCTCTCATCTTGCCACTCCCCAGCTCAAACACCTTTAATAATCACCTTGTTGTTGTTGTGTACCATTGACAGGGAATGGACCCTTAGCTGACCTTCCAGAGGGTTTTCAGAAGTAGTAAATCACAGCAGGGGATTGCCCATTTTTCTCATGTGGAATAGCTGGTGGATTCAAATCACATACCTTTGGATTGGCAGCACAATTTACCACTAAGCCACTTACTATTGTTGAAGCCAGAATCAACTTTCAAGGTCTTTGATAATATTGTACTTTAGACCTGGCCCTGTCAGAGTGATTTCTCTTTTTTTAAGATTTTATTGAGTATCCCTCATAGGATCTCATTTCCATTCACCATAATCATAGGTTAGCATAAATCATCATTTCTAGATGACCATGGCTTGTGTCAACTTCTTCCCTAAACCTCTGATTCCTGTGAAGCTTTTACTATATTCTACCTTTGGTCATCTTCCCTCCATACTAGATTTAAAAGTCTCTGAGTACTGAAACTATCATTCTTATGGTTTTTTGTAGTTCTTGTCAAAGTGTCATATTCAAGCATCCTATTTAGTAAGTATCAATTGCATTAAATGGAATCAACTTTTGTCTGCAGCTGTGTAACTTCTGGTTTAATTGAAGCTTCCCTAGAATCACACAAGATTGTGAGAGGATGCTTTCATTAAGAAAACAAAATATTCTTCCACTTAGAGCCTCAGAGTCCCTGGATTGTGTAAGAGTAAACATGCATAACAGCTAACCAGAAGATTAGAGGCTTCCAAAGGTACCTTGGAAGAAAGGTCTAGTGGTTTACTTTTCAAAAATCAACAGCTTGGAACTGTGCATGACAGAGCTGTACTTTGATACTGTAAGTTGGGTTGGATTGGCTCAAGTGTGTCAGAGATGATGATGACCGGACAGGACAGGACAGGACAGGGTTCAGGTCGCTGTTCATCGTGTTCATTAGTTGTACTTTACAGCACCTAATACCACCACCACCACCACCAGGAGCTGGAATTGACTCTACTGCTACTGTTTTGGTATTCAGAGTCTAAGGGAGCAATCTGCTATTACTTAGATAAAATATGGCCCAATGGATGGGATTGGGTCACAGTGATGAAACTTGCAAATCAAATTAAAATGTGCTATGCTATGAGTCGCAGGCGACTCGACGGCACATAACAACAACAACAACAACAACATGCTATTAGCTCTATTTTTTTTTAATCATTCAGGGTTTTGAGACCTGATAACCAAGTGAAAACTCAGTTGCTAATGATTCTAAAGGCATGATATAAGTCTTATACAGGGGACTTTGGCACCTACTCATGGTCAGGGGTCTCCTCACTTGAATATCAAATCTTGGAGTTGTTTGTGAGCCAAAGACTCCAACGACTGTTTACTTAATGTTAGTCCATCTTGTCTTTTTATAAATTAATAAGTATTTTTAATTGGACATGGTCACCACAGGAGGTCTTGCTCTCGATGGAGAAATAAAAATGCCAAACATTAAAAAAGCCCAAGAACCTTATTTCCAGCTAGATTTTATCTATGTCTTTATGTTGTTATATGGAGAAAAGTTACTTGCAGGAAAAAAAAAATAGTTAATTTTCTAAGCAATTTGAAAGCTGTTAAGTAATGAAGCCTTTTTAAAATTTTAACCCAACTGGGTGCATGTCTAGAAATCAGGATGGTTATGAAGACAGAGTGGCTGGATTCACTTTTGATGGTGTTTACTGTTGCTGAAAATATCTCTGTTCATGACAAGGATTCAAGGCTGCCAGATTTAGCAAATAAAACAAAACAAAAACCAAAGAGGATGCTTGATTCCATTTGAATTTTAACTATACAAGAAATAATTTTTACTATAAATTTGTCCCATTCAATATTTAAGACAGACCTATAATTAAAAATTGATTCAAATTTAACAGGGTATTCTATAGTTTATCTGATAACCTCAGCTAGGTTCTGAGAGTACTGAGGGTCAGAGGACATGCAAACTGAGGAAGATCAAAATTCTAACTTAAAAAATTAGCCTTGAAGGGAGCTCTGGTGGCCTAGTGGCAAGAAGCTGCACTGCAGTCCCAGAGATATGTGGTT